GGTTTCCCATAGTAAGGGGTACAAGGACTATTTCTAACAGGAACTCAATGGCAGGCTCTTTGACCTCCCCACTCCCCAAGAGAGGACCAGTCCTGTTAGGCCACAAAGGAGGACTTTGGAGCCAATCCTGAAAATACCTGATAAAACAGGGTCAGATGATATAGGAGGAGGTCCTCCCCTATCAGTGGACTTGGAAAGGGGCAGGGAAGAGATCAGAGAGGGAGGGTGGGATTGATGAGGGAAAGTGGGACTGGGAAACAGCTGAGATACAGAGTTAACAAAATGTAACTAATATGAAAAATAAAAAAAAAATAAAAAAATTAATGCAAAAAATATGGTTACTTATAAGAGGGCATTTCCACAGAAGATTAACAGAGGCAAAACCTTTGGCAGCAGTATCCTGTGGGCATGGGATGAAGACTGAAGTAAAAGGAGAAAGTGATGAGAGCACCATCATTCATCTCTCTCTGCTACCTGACTATGAACACAATGTGACTATCTACATCACACTTTTGTCTACTTGAATGGACTACTTGAAGCACTTCTTCCCCAAGTTCCATTTATGTCAATGAGAGAAAAAAAGCTAGTAGAGATTTTGTTGTTGTTGTTCTGTTTTGTTTAACCAGAAGTGGATGTGTAAGTATTGTTAACCTGAATGCACTTTGGCAAAGTGTTGAATTAATTTGCTGGAATAACGGTGTAAAGTTTGCAGCTGTAGGCTATAAGTGATCTAGAATGCCATAAGCAGAGCTTAATTGGTTATTCTGGTAGGAATTTGGAAGTTCATAATGGAAAAAAAAAAAAAGAAAAGAACAGAAAAGACCAAAAGCCAGTTTCTAGAGGTTTCAGAAGGAAACCAGGATTATACCAAGAACTGAAAAGGGACGTTAATGTTACATGCTGGCAACTACTCTGACTTTGTTCTATCTGTATTTTAGAACTTGGAGTAAGACTAAATAAAAACCCAACAGACTAGTTTTTTTAATGGATAAAATTCCAAGATATAGTGTGCTCATGCTGTGGCATTGTTACAATTCTCTGTTCTTACCCATACCTACAGTGAAAAAGAGCAACAACCAGAGCGGGAAAATAGGTAAAATATGCAGTTTTAGTAAGAAACGAGCATAAGCTGCTCTAAAGTTGCTGACAAAGAAGTTAAAATTAAAGAAATTGTGATTGTTGAAGAGATTAGAAAAATTAACAAACTTCACATTTTGCAGTAGAAAAAATGAGGTGCATTGATAGCAAAACCATTAAAAGGTTCCAACGTAAAAAAAATGAAAATTCATATGAAAGGACAAAAGTAAAATGGAAAATTCTGCTCAAGGGATTCTGTGCTAGAAAAAAAGAATGGCAAGAGAAGTTTTGACCTAGAACCAGCCAACAATGTACACAGAGAGCTTAACAGCTGTGCTAGGAAAGAGCTGGACTATATTCCCAATTAGCAGAACGTAGAAGCCTCATCCACATGGTGTGAAATAAGTGAGTGAAGGATGTGCAAAGCTGTACACTGATGCCAGAAAGATACTGAGGCCAAGAAATATTTATCTAAGTTGAAGTTGGGCTCAAGAACTGAGAGACATCCAATGAGAAAAGTGTCAGGTATCACATGGAACATATACAGGAGAAAGTTGTAGTGAGCTGAGATAGCAAAAACAGAGTTGCTAGGAGACCCAGTACTGCAGGAACTCAGAAGATTTCTGCAAGAATGCATCAGTGTACCCAACATTAAATTATGTGAGTTGATTTCACCTTGTTGGATATCAGTATTTCTTTGACTGTCCTTTCTATACTATGCTTCAATTTGTCCTTTCTGAATTAGAAATGTTCATTCTATGGGACTATATGCTGGAAGTATGTAACTTGTACTTTTTTAAAATGAACAATCACAGATAAGAGAAGACCTGATTCTTAGAAGAGATTCTGAACTTTTATTTTGAACAGTTTTGAAACTCTTAGGTGTTTGGGGATCATTTAAAAACAAATTAAATGTAGGTTGCATCAAGAGATTAAAGTGAGTCTTTAGGGACCAGGAGTGGAATATTATCCTTTAAAAGCAATGTTTTCGGATGTCATCTTGACAAGACAGGATAAGAAATGATTGATATTACTGGTAAATTTATTGGGTTTTAGAATAATGTATGAGATATGCTTCTAAGCCATTTCCTTGAGAGTATTTCTAAAGTTTTAACTGTTCCTCAGTTGAGGGACATCTGTGCTGTGTCCAGATTCTGGCTATAACAAATAAAGTTGCTATGAACTTGGTTGAAAAAAAAAAAAGACTAGAGAAGGCAACCCAGTACAAGGGTCCTAACAGCAGACAAAAGAATCACAGATATGGGGTACAGAGCTTAATAGAGAATTCTCTACAGAGGAATATCAAAATGGTGAGAAGCACTTAAAAAGCATCCACTGTCCTCAGTCATCAAGGAAATGCAAATCAAAATGATGCCAAGTTTCCATCTTGCACCCAGCAGAACGGCTAAGATCAAAAACACAAGTGAGAGCACATGCTGGCGAGGATGTAGAGAAAGGGGAACACTCCACCATTGCTGGTGGAGTTCAAACTTGAACAACTACTTTGGAAATCAATCTGGAACTTTCTCAAAAAAATGGCAATAGCTGTTCTTCAATATCCAATTATGCTACTCCTAGGCATATACGCAAATGATGTTCCATCATACAATAAGAACATTTGCTCAACTGTGTTCAAAAAGGCTTTATTTGTAATAGCCAAAAAATGGAAACAGCCCAGATGTTCTCCAATTGAAGAATGGATAAAGAAATTGGGGTACATTTTCACAATTGAATACTACTCAGCTATGGAAGACAAGGAAATTCTGAAATTTAAAGGTAAATAGATGGAATGTGAAATGATAATTCTGAGTTACATAACCCAGACCCAGAAAGACAAATATGGTATATACTCACAGCTAAATGGATTTTATCGTATTCTACGGGATATCCATACTACAATTCACACACTCAAAGAAGTCTTTGAAGTAACAAGTAGGGTTGAAAAGAGGATACTCAAATCTTATTAAGAAGGAGAAATAGAATAGGTAGCAGATGTGGTTGGGGAGAGGGATCCAGGTAAGAAAGGGAGCATGGAGAATAATGAGGTTTGGTATCATACCTGGGGAGAGGAGGAACAGGAGGATAAGAATGCTTGCAGAGAGGAAAAAATTTGAACAGGGGTATCTCTGACAAGCCAGAGACCTATGACAGGGTAGGCTCCTGGGAGGATAATACAGTGACTCTTGCTAAGGTCCTAGTAACAGGGGTCATGGAGACTGAAGAGGCCACATTCTAAATAGGCAAGAGTGGGAAACACCAACCCAGCACAAAAAATTCTAAAAAACTGATCCTGCATACAAGATGTGTAGGGACAAAAACAATGCAGAGATTGAGGTAATGTCCAACCAATGACAGGCCCAAACTGAGACTTACCCTATGGGAGACAGCCAGCCCCTGACACTATTAAAGAAACGCTGTTATACTTGTAGACAGAAGCCTAGCATAGCTATCCTCTGAGTCGGTCCACCCAGCACCTGCTGAGAAGAGATGCAGAGACCCACAAGTAAACATTGGGTGGAGTGCAGGGAGTCTTGTGGAAGAGTGCATTAAGAAAAGAAGGACCAAGAGGGGAAAGGAACTCAAGAAGCATTTAAACAGAAACAAATCAAGTAATCCCATTAAAAATTGTGATACAAAGCTAAGCAGAAAATTTTCAATACAGGAATATCAGATGGCAGAGAAACACTTAAAGAAATGCTCAACATCCTTAGCTATCAGGGACATGGAAATCAAAATGACTTGAGATTTCACCTTACACCAATCAGAATAACTAAGATAAAAAACCCAAGTGATAACACATGCTGGAGAGGATGTGGAGAAAATGAAACCATCCTCCAATGCTGGTGGGAATTTAAGCTTGTACAACCACTTTGAAAATCAATCTGGTACATTTTCAGACAATTAGGAACAGTGCCCCCTCAAGATCCAGCTATACCACTCCTAGGCATATATCCAAAAGATGCTCAGGTATACAACAAGGACATTAGCTCAGTCATGTTCATAGCAGCTTTGTTTGTAATAGCCAGAGGCTGGAAACAAACCAGATGTCCCTCGGTTGAGGAATGGATACAGAAATTGTGGTACATTCACACAATGGAATACTACTCAGCAACAAAAAATAAGGAAATCATAAAATTTGCAGGCAAATGTAGGAACTAGAAAAGATCATCTTGAGTGAGTTATCCCAGAAGCAGAAAGGCACACATGGTATATACTCAGTTTTCACTTCTAAGTGGATATTAGACATATAATATAGGGTAATCATACTAAAATCTGTATGGCTTAAGAAGCTAATCAAGAAGGAAGACCCTGGGTAAGATGATCAAGCCTCATTCAGAAAGGCAAATGGAATGGATATCAGAAGAGTTAGAAAACAGGAAACAGGTCAGGAGCCTACCACAGAGGGCCTCTGAAAGACTCTACCCTGCAGGGTATTAAAGCAGAGGCCAAGACCCATAGCCAAACTTTGGTCAGAGTGCAGGGAATCTTATGAAAGGTTCTTTCTATAGGAATACCTGGAGAGGACAGGAGCTCCAAAATAGAGAAAAATAAATCTGGCGAAAGAGATATTTTTCTGAGACTGATACTCCAACCAAGAACCATTCATTGAGATAACGTAGAACCCCTGCACAGATGTAGCCCATGATAGCTCAGTATCCAGTATAGACCCTAGTAAGAGGAACAGGGAATGTCTCTCACATGAACTCAGGGGTCTGCTCTTTGATCACCTCCCCTTGAGGGGGTACAGCCTTTCTGGGCCACAGAGGAAGAGAATGCAGCCAGTCCTGACAAGTCAGTAATAAATTGCCAGGTCTTCAGCCTGCACACTGCTGATGCTGAGAGTGAAATCTGTCCCAGATCCACTGCCTGTGAAGCGATCAGGGACCCCAGTGTGCCAAATGGGTACCCAGTAGATCAGCAGCTTAGGGGATTGCCCTGGTTTCTGCTGGTACCAGGCCAAGTAGTTCTTTTGGTTTCTGATGCTTAAAAGACTCAGACTGGACTTTCAACTGGTGGTGACCTTCTCTCCTGCTGACATAGCCAGGGAAGATGGAAAGTGGGTCATTATGATGTCCCCACTGGTACCTTCAATAATGAGTAGATATTGAAAATCAATACACACATAAACACAGATTATGATATAACTATTGAAATTTGTTATGTAATCCCAGCACTCAGGATACAGAGGCAGGCAGTTCTGTGAGCTAGAAGCCAGCTTAGTCAACAAAGTGAGTCCAGGACAGCAGGGGTCAGTTAAACAGAGAAACCTTGCATGAAAAATCAAAAAGAGGAAAGAGAGAGGGAAGGACAAAGAAAGAGAAATTTAAGAAATTTGTTATATAAACGTCCTTATCATATTGTCAGGAAATTATTATGTAAGAAATCTACACCCTGGGACACAGTGTAAATTTCTTTCATACAAAGATGTGACCATGAAATGATAATAATACTTTTACATTTCTCAACAGACACCCAGATCAGCGGCAACCTGAAGACCTGGGTTTGTGACTCCATCTTGCCCTTCCTGACTGTCTGATGTTGCTCAGTTCACAGGGGAAAATGCTGGTTTGTAAATTCTGAGCAGCTGTGCCCTGATGGGGAAGGCCATGCAAAGGAGTCAGCAAATACAAAAGCACATCACTGGGCAGTGTGGGAGTGTCTGTGTAACAGTGGGTGGAGACAATCAAGAGCTAAAAATACTATCACAGAGAGCAGGAGCATCACAGAATGTGAGCAGTTAGCAGCATTCAAGCAAAAATGTACTAGGTGCTCAAAAAGCAGTTTTGGGTAAAAGTCCAAGACAGCAGTTGACATTTTCAGAAACTTTAGAGGAATTATCTCAGACTGACTGTCCTAGGGAAATGATGTGTTCAAGAAATCACAACAACAGTCGAAGAAGCCCAGACTAGGAAAACATGCAATAAAAGAAAGTAAGGGTGGAGGTGAGGAAATGCAAAACACAGGAAGTTGTGGCTAAATTTGTTCATTGTCTTCCATCCAAACAGCAACTCTTACTGAGGACAATGAACAGTGTCTCAGACATGTGAGCTTCTGTTTCCAAGCTACACATGGGGTTCAGACAAAAAGAGAAGCCAAGTTGTGCCTTCATTTTCTTTGAATTTAGGAAGTCTCTAATTCCTTTTTTTATTTCTTCCTTGACAAGGAAGACCATAGGGAAGATTCTCAATCCTCATTCAGGCAATAGGCTTCAGAAGCAGGAGAAGACAGGGAACAGGACAGGAGCCTATTACAGAGGGCCGCTGAAAGACTGTACTGATCAAAGTATTGATTCAGAGGCTGAGATTCATAGGCAGACTTTGGGCAGAGGGTAGGGAATCTTATGAAAAAAGGGAGCGATAGAAAGTCCCAGAGGGGACAGGCATTTCACGAGGAGACCAATAGAGACATAAAAACTGAGCTCTGGGGATGCTAAAGAGAATGGTACCCCAACCAAGGACAATGCATGCAGAGGAGCTAAAAGGCTGGTTCAGATGTTGTTCATAGACTCAGTCTCCAAGTGTGTTTCCTAGTAAGAGAAGCAGAGACTTTCTCTGCATAAACTCAGTGGCAGGCTCTCTGAATACCTCCTCCAGAGGCATGCCACCTTGCCAGTGCATAGACGAAGACAATGCAACCAGTGCTGAATGCACTTGGTAGGCTAGGGTCAGATAGAAAGGAAGGAGGACCTCCCCTATCAATGGATTAGGGGAGGGATATTGGGGAAAGAGGAAGGGAGGGTAAGACTGGGAGGGAAAATGGGAGGAGGCCACATCCAGGATACAAAGTGAATAAATGTAATAAATGATAAGAATAAAGAAAGGAAAAGAAAAAAAGAGAAGGGAAAAATTTGTTCTGTGGAAATTCTAAGAGACTTTAATTTAATCCCGTGACCAGAGAAGCTTTAATCTCACAGAAAAGGTACATGCAGCAGAAACTAACAAGTATTTCCCCCACAAATTTGTGGAATTGAAAGAGAGCTCTAAACTGAGAGAATGGAAAGGGAATGAATCAAACCAGATTTCCTCATGAAATCATCCCTGTAGACCTACCCTGGCTAGCATGTCTAATTTCAGAAATTCATCTTCTAGGGTAATTTAGAAATTAGCAGTATTTAAAATGGTGTGTGATGTTTTTGCCTGCATAGTAAGTAGATTACAAACAAACAAACCATCTATCCAGAAGGGGTACACAGCCTTTTTAAAAATCAAGCAATAATATTCTAATCTTGATAAAATCTTATTGTTTTAACTCACCATTGATTCATTACATATCCAGGTTGACTCCCTCTCTCTAAACTTCCACATTTCCTCCCTCTGCCCCTCATCCTCTTCCCCTAGTCCACTTAATGGGGGAGTTTTCTCTTATTGCCTTCTACTCATAGCTTGTAAAGTCTCATCAGGACCACTTGGACCCTCTTCCTCTGTGGCCTGGCAAGGCTGCATCAACAGGGGCAATGATCAGAGAGCAGTCAACTGAGATCACAATAGAAGCAGCCTCTGCACCCCTCACTCAGAAGTCCACATGGACTTGTATGAAAGAATCTTCAAGTATCTGAAGAAACAAATAGAAGAAGATATCAGAAAATGGAAAGATCTCCCATGCTCACAGCTCAAAAGGATTAACATAGTAAAAATGGTCATCTTAACAAAAGCAATCTACAGATGCAATACAATTCCGTTCAATGCAATTCCCATCAAATTAGCAACTCAATTCTTCACAGACCTTGAAAGAAAAATTTTCAGCTTGGCCCTTAGTGGCACCATGGGTCCAAACATCACCATAGCCCCAGGGAGCAGTGCAGGCCACTCACATCTGCCTGGTCTTCACTGCCATCATGTACCCAATTCTTCATCACTCCACATTGCAGGTGATGCTATCTTTCTCAACTTTCCATTACATATTTGTTCATCATACTGGTACCTGTGCCTGCACTGCCTAAATAACATAATTTTGATAATAGGAACAGCAAGGCATGGGAAACAACAATGGGCACAGGGGGTGTTCCCAAAACTGTAGCCTCTCACCTGACACCCACAGCAGCAGTCCCCACAGCAGGAGAGCAGCTGACCTCATCTCTGAGAGCTGGACTGGAGGCTGTTTCTTTGGGCCTTGAAAAGCTGTCTGTAAAGATGCTTTGAACAATGTACAATGTGACTAATGTCTTGATTACATGTAAATCAGCTCAGAACAGCTTGACTTATTGCTCAAAGGACACCTGCACTTGTGTCACCCTATGGCAGTTAGGATAGCACAGAATTTCCTAGAGTATTTTAAATGTATCACAATGATTTCCTGGCTGGCATTATGGAATCATCATGTTCAATTATTCTGAGCTATCATGTCACAGCACTGCTGTAAAGTATATGGGGTGCAGGAGCACTTTCATCCCTCAGAATTAAACTATTAAAAAATTCTTTGTGCTTCTGAGTTATCACATACATCCATTTGCCTGCAAATTTCGTGATTTCCTTGTTTTTAACTGTGGTGTAGTATTTCAGTGTGAAAATGTGCCACAATGTCTGTATCCATTCCCAAGTTGAGGGACATCTAGGTTGTTGCCAGATTCGGGCTACTTCAAATAAACCTGCAATGAACATAGTTGAGCAAATGTCCTTGTTGAATGCTAGAGCATCTTTTGTATTTATCCTAAGGAGTGGTATAGCTGGATCTTGAAGTAGCACTATTCCCCATATTCGGAATAAGCTCCAGGTTGATTTCCAAAGTAGATACACAACTTTGCATCCCACCAACAATGGAGGAAGGTTCCCCTTCCTCCACATTTTATCCATCATGTGTTGTGACTTGAGTATTTGATCTTAGCCATTTTGGTGGGCATGAATTGGAATCTCTGGGTCGTTTAGATTTGCATTTCCCTGAAGACTGAGGATGTTGAGAATTTCTTTGTTTTTCCAACATTCCATATTCCTCTGCTGAGAATTCTCTGTTTACCTCTGTACTTCATTAGTAATTGGATTATTTAATAATTTGTGTCTAATTTCTTGAGTCCTTCATATATTCTGGATATTAGCCTTCAGTGTGATGTTGGGTTGGTGAAGAACTTTTCCCTGTCTGTAGACTGTCATTTTGTTGTGTTGGCTTTGTTTGCCTTCTGCTCAGTGTTGATGTGGTTCCTGAATAAGAAGAACTGGGGCTGCCTCTGTCATGAACTTGGTTGCATGTTCTTTGATCACTTTCCCTTGGAGATGCAGCCTTCTCAGTCCAGATGAGACTTGATATGCTTCAACTAACTAAGTTAATCTCTGTCATTTTAAGTGATACAAAAACTATTTAAATTTTATTTTCTAATCAAAATCATCCTCGTTGGATCTCTGATGTCCTTGATCGCTAATTGTAGCTCTAACAGTAGCAAACACTCATCTCCTTGCCCAGTCCACTTCATATGTACAGTGTACCTTACTGACAGTTTTCACACTAAGATGTGAGTTTCTAAAGGTTATGAGACAAAGGCAAGTAAGTTATATATGTCAAGAAGAATCAAAGGATACAAGTTATGGAGGTCTAAGTCTTATAGTAAGAGGCTATGACAGTTCAGGAAAATGAGTTAGGCTCTGATGATTGAAAACTTGAGAAAGTGATTTATACATCTGGGAGAGTAATTTAAAGTATAGAAAGAGTTGTTTCTCATTTCTTTTCTGCTCTCTATGCTACTGTTGGGGCTGCACACACCTTTCTCTCTCACCCATAGTCAGAATACACAACCAACATCCAGGCCCCTCCAGCTTTCTCCCTTAAATTGTTCCTTTCAAGGTTTATTTCTCCTCATTTCCTAATGTGCTATTCTTTTCTAGGAAAACATGTCTTCTCCAGATTTGACATAAGTTTTTTTCTTTTTGTCCTGATAACAGCTCCCAGGGTTCTCCTGAGTCCCTCCTCTTCCTTCCTCAGACTCTAATTGTACACTGCCAGTCTCCCAGTCCCCAAACTCCCATTATCCTTGCCCCACGTCTCTAGTCAATCCACTGTAATGGATGCCACTCTTTTTCCCTCGCTGTGCATCATAAACCTCTCTCTATTATACCCACAGACCCTTCTGTACATATCTCCAAACTCAATACTCCCTACCCTTAATCAGCCTCGCCTATGCCTCACACTCATCATTTCATCCTTCTTACCCCACATGCTACCCAATTAACAGTCAAAAAACAAAACAAAACAAAACAAAACCAAAAAACTCTAACAGAATCTTTTTTTTATTCTTTATTAATTACACTTTATTCACTTTGTATGCCCCTGTGGTTCCCTCCCTCCTCCAGTCCCAATCCCTCCCTTCCAACATCCTCTGTATGCATACCCCTCCCCAGGTCCACTGATAGGGGAGGTCTTCTTTTCCTTCCTTCTGATCTTAGTCACAGGCCACAGAAGAAGACAATGCAACCACTCCCAACAGAATCTTATACCTAGCACAAGATCTTTCTTCAGTAACTGCTGTCTCTTTACATCCTTTGGCTTTCCTCTATCATCCCTGAGCACACCACTCACTTTTCAATCCTAAATCTTAAAGACACTATCTTCCAATACTCCTGCCAAGGCATTTTTGTCTTCACATAGATGGATCCTGACACTCCACAATCCTAACAACTGACCTTGCCTGTCTTTCCCTGGGGATTCAGAGACATTCCCCTTCCTTTTGGCCAAGCTATACGATGAACTTAGTCTGCCTTCTCTCTCATTCTTGATTATTCTGTGGAGTTTTCAAATTGGTATATTGATGCTTCAGGTTTCATTTTCAGCCTTTTTTCCCCTCGAAAATCAATCCCTCTAGCACATTTATCAATCTGAACTTTTGTTATAAAACCTCTGAAATCTGGTGTCCTTTGTATCTCTCTCTCTCTCTCTCTCTCTCTCTCTCTCTCTCTCTCTTCTTATTTTTTGTCAAGTCTTGCGAATTTACTTTAGTCTCTTCTACCCAGAACTATATAGACTAGTTACCCTAATCATCCTTGTCACACTTCTGGTGTTCCAACAGCAGTTTGATGTTTTGAAACATCTATATCAGCTTTCAGATTTCTTACAGTGATCTGATGGCCTCCTTTATGTCCCCCAATTTCTACAGAAGGAAATGAATGATAATCCTGAGTTCTTTTTGTATTTTTATACCAAAAGACAAAAGAGTCATTGAACCCATAATTTGTACTGGGCTCGGCAAACTATTCATCACTTTTTCAGACACACCTGCTATCACTCAGAAGGGGGAAGTGTGCAGGGCCAGGGCTGTGTGTGCTGCAGGCAGCTGGGGACATTCTCATGGAGGTTTGTGTTGGAGGCTGAAGCACTGTGGGAGGAGTACTAATACCTTGCAGACAGTAATAAGTTGCCAGGTCTTCATCCTGCACACTGCTGATGCTGAGAGTGAAATCTGTCCCAGATCCACTGCCTGTGAAGGGATCAGGGACCCCAGTGTACCGAGTGGACGCATAGTAGATCAGCAGCTTAGGAGACTGTCCTGGTTTCTGCTGGTACCAGGACAATAAGTTCTTTTTGCTACTGCTGTGATAAAGACTCTGACTGGACCTGCAGCTGATAGAGACCTTCTCTCCTGCTGACACAGCCATGGAGGATGGAGACTGAGTCATCACAATATCTGCACAGGCACCTGCAATCAGGAATACACAATGAACATGCGTATGAACACAAACACAGACAGTAAAAACAGTTGAAATTTGTCACTTAATATATTTGTACTATCATGTTGTCAGAGCATTATTATGGAAATATGAAATACTGAGCCTGGCAGACTCTAAGTTTCTTATCTACAAAAAAGTGACTGTGTAAAGATTATAATAATTTGAGTCTCTCACCAGACAGCCATAGCAGCAGGGATATGAGGACCTGGGTCTGTGACTTCATCTTGCTCCCCCTGCTGTCTGATGCAGTTCAGTTCTCACTGCAGAGGCTGGTTTATATATTCTCAGCAGCTGGGCTGGGCTGTAGGAGGCCCATGCAAAGCAGTCAGCAATACAAAAGCAAATGCCTGTGCAGTGTCTGTGAGTGTAGCTGGTGTGAATCAACAGTCAAAAATACTATTACAGCGAACATGAGCAATCACTGAAAAAGATTGCCTTACAGCTCTCAAACAGAAAAGCACTAAGTGTCTAACAGAAAACCTGGGTTAAAATCCAAGGTATATTTAAGTAAAATTGACTTCTGTAGAAACGTTAGTAGAGCTATCTCAGAATGGCAGTCCTAGGGAAATAATAGGATATGTTCAAACACATCACAACAACAACAAATAAACAAAGTAAGAAAGCATGCAATAAAAGAAAGGGAAGATGGAAGAAAAGATGACAGGAAAAAAGAGAATCGAGGCTAAATGTGTTCAATATTACTCATCTCCAAAGCCACTCTTAATGAAAACTGAGGGCAGGGCCTCAGATATTTGGGCTGTATTTTCCTCGATAAACAAGGGACGAAGATGCAAAGAGCAGGCCAGAATTCACTCTGTGGATATCTGGGCAGACATTAATTTAAGACTGAGATCATAGGAACTTTAATCTCAAAGTAAAGGAAACCCAGCAAAAACTAACAAGTATCCTCCCCATAACTCCAGGAAATTGCAAGAGGGTTCTAAATCTCAACAAATAAAAGAGGAAACACAGATTTTTCATGAAGTCATTGTTGCAGACCAACACTGCCATGAGTTTTATTCAAGGAATACAAATGCTAGTGTAATTTAGAAATTAGCAGTACTGAAACTGGATTAAATGGGCTTCTGACACAGTAAAGAGGTAAATCTCTCCAGAAGGGGGCAGAGCCATCCTAATCTATGTAATGCTTTCATAGAGCCCAAGAGAAATCTATTTCAGTGACTGTTCCTGTCCAAAGGGTGAAAAAAACTTATGGCAATGAATAAAAAATCAATAGCAATAAGCGGAATCACGGAACCTGCCAGGACTTCATATTATTGAAATCTGAAAGTATATATGAGAAGTAAATTATGTAGCCAGAATTATGCATAAAGTAAAAGACAAAAATAAATATGTGAACTATCATGGCAAGGGGTGGAGATTCACATCTGTACTCCTAGAACTGGAGAGACAAAAGCAGGAGACTCTCGAGTTTGAAGCCAGCCTGGGATAGATAACTTCTACACAAATCTAATCTTTACATGGAGACAATCTCTCAAAATAGTATTATTAATCAACTGGTTATAAGGCCGCTCATGGCATTATCTACCAATTCATATTATTTATTTGATGTCAATGTTTCACCATTGAGCCACAAATATTATTGAAAAAATAAATATTCACTTATCCAATATGCATATGCTTCCATTTTGAATTAAATGTATTATTTCAAACATCACTTTTCAGGTATAAAACGTGAAATAATTTCTGATGAGCACATGCAGATCTCCTGTGTAAACTACCAACACAACATCCTAGGAGAGAGGTAGGCCATATGTGGATACAGGAAGTTCCTAATCTCAAGGTCTAGACTATGACAGACAAGGAGCTCTGCTCCTGTCAGTGTCTAACAAGTAGTCATATGCCTTCACAAAAAATTACACTTCTCCTTGTGACAGCAGCAGTGAGCTCAGACTGTGCCTCACGACATTCACAGCTGCTCCTTCAGATGGGACAAATGGAGACAAGGATCTTACAAATCCAAAGTTTCCATGGGCTTCTCACAGTATGCCAGGGGAGAGTATGTGGTCTAAAGAGGCAAAAATTTCAAGTTATATTATGCACAATATAGAAAGCCCAACAGTCCTTAGTTACTTCTCAGGTTTAAAAAGTATGTCCTGGGGCATTTGATTATGTTGGTTCTGATTAGAAATGGACTGTAACCTTGCTGGCTGAACACAATACTGATTAATATGCCTCCACCCTTATAAACAAGAAGTCTGAAGCTGATGGCCTTTAGCTCCTGGGACACAGCACCCTATTCCATGGACACCACTGTGTTTTCAGTACCAGGGAATAACAGTCTGATATGCAAACTATCCTGGGACAGTACAAAGCTGAACTCAGCATATCTGTTCCAGCATAGAGAATCCTTTATTCTCTGGATAGGTGACTATCTTTACCCAATACATGTGACAAGAAATAGTCGACAGAGAAAGATTTTTGAAGGATAATTACCAAAAAAATATTGCTTTACTAAAAGATTCAGATTAAGAATGATGGGTTTATTTAAAAGGGTTTCAATATGTGGAACCCATCTGCTTTCTGTCAAAAGATGCTGCTACAGGGGTGGCCTAAGACCATGTGAATTATTAGATATTTACATTATGTTTCATAACAGCAGGGAAATTACAGTCATGAAGTATCAATGAAAATGTTTTGGTTGGAAGTCACCATAACCTGAGGAAATATACTTAAAAAGTTTCAGCATTAGGAACGCTGAGGACCAATGGTGTATATGAAACTCTGACTTTATATTCGTTGCCAAAGATTTGCTTTACTTACTAGAAAAAATATCCTATAGAATTTCAAAATAATGAACAAAATATATAGAGTTAATAAGCTCATATCTAACTAAAAGGTCAACTCTCCTACACTATAATGTTTTAAAACCTTTGTGTTAAATAAATGACATGTGTTTGTCTCTACGTTTGTCTCCCTTATTCTCCCTAGGGAGAATCCCTTAATTTTTTCAGTTAATTCTGTTTACCTTCCCTCTGAGAAATGTTTTTAAGATTAAAGCTTTGAGTTTAATATTTTAAAAGTTTGCCTTATGTAACAACTTCAAGAGGCTTAGGCACAATATATATTGTGATAATAAAGTGTGGATCCTCAGTTCTTATTTACAGCCACTAGAAGAATGAAACAAGTACAAGTTAGAGGACTAAGAAAACCAGTGGAATGACCCACTAATTGTGATGGGGGCAGGTAGGTCCAGCATCAACTTTGAGACCATCACTTTGGATGATGTGCTTAATCCACAATGAAACAAGTTCTTTCACTAGTTTAGTACACAGCCTTGATCACTATTCCCTGTTGATGCTTCTCAGACTTTTCTGCTCTGGATGATATTTATAGATTGTTGAAATAGACATCATAATGAAGACAGGAACAGGATGGTCAGATGGGGAAATGAAAGGAAGTTAGTTTTGAGGAAGTGAATTGAAGAAAAGACAGCTGGAATTGATGTATTTGAAGGATGATATAGTAGAGAAAACTAGAGCAATGGAAACTTTCTATAATATATGATGACAATCTGGCACAGATACATATTCTTTGGAAGTGGCATAAGTCATGACAACAGCACAGCTGCTTCACACAGTCCCAGCAAAGCTGAGCAGATTGTTGCAATCACTGTCTATCATTTAGGGTTTGGTATTTGCACTTGCATTCTTAGGGACTTTCAACATTTTCTGCTGTAAGACATTTTATGTCTTTTCCTGAGAAAAAATGATGCTGAGACTTTTAAGGAAAATCCTAAAATTAACCTTATGTGACCAATATTTGGATGTCTTCCTAATGTCTTGGAGACCATTAAGCACAGATAAGCATATAGCTTTGTGAGGCCATTGTTCCAGGAATCTTGTTAGGATATCTGCTCCTGAGCAAACTAAAACAGTATGTTTGGCATTAGGTAAAAAGACAATTTACAAACCCTCACAAGTCAGGAAAATAGCTTAGAGATTCAAGACTTCTTTTTAAGACAGGCTTAGAGGTTTCAAAAAATGAGGTTTAATGACAGAGATCCTCAGGATATATATCTGAAGAAATGAAACTCAGTAATAAGACATCTTGACTAAAATAAGCTTTTTGTATAGATTATGATACATATAGTAAAAAAGGTTAGTGGTTATTCATAAAAGACCAGTTCAGCATTTTTCTATTTTCTGCAGTGCTCTTGGACTAGAAACATTGCCAGGCTAAAATCAGGCTCTGTCATATATTAACCATGTTCACTTTGGAGGAGACATTCTTTAGATTCTTTAAACTAGACTTACAGGGGTAATAAAACAATAATAGCTGTTCTCTTTGTATTTTCTACTTGTAACTGACATTTTAACCCTAGACATGTAATGAAAAATCAAACACATAATCTGTACCACTTAGATAATCATTAGTCTGTCTTTTTTCTGTGAAACTTGTATAAATATAAAAACACCTGGTTGCTAGAAGTCAGATCCACCTGTGTGGCATGACTGTTAGTCAATCAGCTGCAAGATTCCCCTGACCATCATCCTGAATGACTCCCTCCCCTCACTGACTCCTCATCTCCTTTGTGGACTGTCCTGTTAGCATCAGCAAAGATCCTCCACATCTTCTCTGTCCCCTGGACAAAGCCCATAGAGAATGTTAACAGTGTCACCAAATAACAGGAGTGATAAAACTCAAAATAAAAAGAATGATAAAATACAAAATAATAAGAATGATTAAACACAAAATCTTGTCACCAAATGCAGATTTCAGTGTCATGAATGGATTACATACATTTGACATTGTGGCTTAAACAGTCCTGAAGACATACCCAAACCATCTAGGCTAGTGTAGTCCTCTCTGTAAACTGAAAACAAGACCCCATTGCTGAGGACAACACCCACACAATTCATTGAACGTTTAGAAGTTAATCTAGTGCCTTTACTCTGGTTCTCAGACTTCTCACAGAACAAGTCACTTATGGATTCCATCTCATGGACTGGGACTTAATAAAATCTAGACAACTGTTTTTTAGTCCTATAGGATTGGTGCCACTGTTATCATATTTTGCAGGAAGCACAGTTTGTAAATCAAACGTTTGGTGGTAGGGTTGGTGGATACTTTTCTCTATTGGCAGCCTGCAAAGTACTTTTCGATGTCATAAACATTATAACATGGGGGTGAGGGCTCCAGGTAGGCACCAGCTCAAATTCTCCATGATCAATGATTTGTTTGTGTGTTTTCCTCTGCAATAAGAC